GGCACAGAGGGGAGGCTAATCTTAGGATAGCAAGTTTTGTTTCAAACACCTATTCTGATCACATAACAGTAGATAACTAAAGCATCTACTCTCTCTTCAAAAAAATTCTGAAGAATCAAAACCTAACTCTACAAGGGAGATTATCTTTTCTTTTCCTTTAAATTTAATTAATTTATTTTTTACTACACCAGCACACATGGGATCTTAGTTCCCAGACCAGGAACAGAACTTAAGCCCCCTGCACTAGAAGCCCAGAATTTTAACCACTGGATCTCCAAGGAAGTACCTACCTTTTCTTTTCTTTCTCTTCATTTTTATTAAACAGAATTTTATTTTTAAATTTTTATTTATTTACTATTTTACTTTTGGCTTCACTGGGTATTCACTGCTACACTTGGGCTTTCTTTAGTTGCAGCAAGCAGGGGCTGCTCTTCATTGCAGTGCACAGATTTCACATTTCAGTGGCTTCTCTTGTTGGGAAGCACAGGCTCTAGGCACACAGGCTTCAGCAGTTGTGGCACATGGCCTTAGTTGCTCTTAAGCAGGTGGAATTTCCCTGGACCAGCGATCAAACCTGTGTCCCCTGCATTGGCAGGTGGATTCTTAAGCACTGGACCACAAAAGGAAGTCCCCTACCTTTTCTTTGTTGAAGTATAATTGATGTACAAATTATGTAAGTTCCAGGTATACAATATAGTGACAAAGAATTTTAAAAGTTATATTCCATTTATAGTTATTTTAAAATATTGGCTATGTTCTCTGTGTTGTAAAATACATCCTTGTAGTTTATTTCATACATGACAGTTTTTACCAACCACTCCTCACTCCCCATATCATCCCTCTCCCTTCCCTCATCCAACTATTATCTACTAGTTTGTTCTCTATAACTGTGAGTCTGCTTTTTTACTAAATCTACTACTTTGCAATATTTTATAGTTTCCATGTATAAGTGATATCACACAGTATTTGTCTTTCTTCTGCACAGTAACTTCTAATTCTATCCATGTTGTTCTAAGTGGCAAAATTTCATTCCTTTTTATGGCTGAGTAGTGTTCCATTGTGTATGTGTTTGTGTGTGTGTGTGTGTGTATCTTCTTTGTCCATT